TTAGTTAGTTAGTTAGTTAGTTAGTTAAGGGTCCACCATTCTTCTGCATAGTGCCCACCACCATGAACATTCCTCCGGGGACGTCACCAGGGGGCGCTGTGGATCTTCTCAGAGCTGCAAGTTCTGCAACCAAATCAAATGGTTCTAACTGAATGGGCCCCGTGCCCATGCTCATGGCCTGAGTTACAGGGGACAGCAGGTGCTTCCTCTCAAGGGACAGGCTCCGAGCTCACAACCACCTCAGTCTTCTCCTGAGCCTGTAGCTTCAAACTGGGCCCAGGACCCAGCATTGGACGGTCCTATGGGCTCCTATTTGCATAATGCCCCCCAAGCACACCCTGCACCCAGCACGCTGAGGAGGAGATAAAGGGGCACCCAGAGACCGCACAGCATGAGGCCAGGGCATCTTGGAAAGTCTCACCATGGCCGGGACTCCTCTGCTCCTCCTTCTAGTCCTGTCTCTCTGCCCAGGTTCATGGACATTTCAGACACCAGCCTTTGGAGGGATTCCTCTGCCTTTACCCTTTGTTCCTGACCGTGTCTGTTTTCATTTCAGGGTCCAGTTCTCAGGCTGTGGTGACTCAGGAGCCCTCACTGACCGTGTCCCCAGGAGTGACAGTCACTCTCACCTGTACCTCTAGCACTGGAGCAGTCACCAGCGGTCACTATCCATACTGGATCCAGCAGAAGTCTGGCCAAGTCCCCAAGACACTGATTTATAATACAAACAATAAACACTCCTGGACCCCCGCCAGGTTCTCAGGCTCCATCCAAGGGGGCAAAGCTGCCCTGACCCTGTCGGGGGCCCAGCCCGAGGACGAGGCTGAGTACTACTGTGCTCTCTGGTACAGCGACCATTTGCACAGTGAGAGATGCAGGTGGCGAAGGGGGGCAGAAACCCAAGGCCCAGTGCACCCCTGTTTCTAATATCCTCCGACTCCTGTCACAGGGGCTGCGTGTCCCAATTGTGGGCTCAGGGAGTTTTTTCTCCATGGTCCCATAGGAGGCAATCAAATCCAATTTCCTCAGGTGTAAAAGGTTTTAACCCACCACTTTAGGAAAACCAAGTGATTTTAAAAACAAGAGCAAATATAATCAACAATTCCGCAGGTAATGGACAGGAGCAAGAAAAGGAAAAGTTATGCACACATGGACACACACACACACACACACACACACACGCAGCCAGGTCTGAATTCAGGTGGGCCAGCATGTAATAACCAAGACAAAACTTAACAATACCCTATAAAAAGAATAGACACGGAGCCAATTTAAAATGGAGCTGGGGCCTCCATCCCAGAGCAATTTCCTCGCAGGCCCCCCGTCTCAAAGCTCTGCAATGTCTGAGGTGGAAATAACCTGTAAGCTGGGTCAAGCAACTGTATATTCCCAAAACTGTTTGCAGAGCTAACAGGAGAGCAGATATTTTGACTAAAGGGCTAAAAATGAAATACTATACATTCTTTTGTCCGGCCGGGTGTGGCCCAGCGGTTGAGAGTCNGTGTGGCTCAGCGGTTGAGAGTCGACCTGGGATCTAGGCGATCAGGGTTCGATTCCCGGTCAGGGCACATGCCCGGTTGTGGGCTTGATCAATGACTCTCTCATCATTGATGTTTCTGTCTCTCTGTCTCTCCCTCTCCTTTCCTCTCTCTGAAATCAATAAAGATATATTTAAAAAATAAATAAATAAAATAAATACTGTGCATTCTTTAGAATTTGCACCACCATGTTTAGCTAAAGAATAACTTAGCTTCCTTTCTCCTGTAGAAATTCCTTCTTTGCCTCATTATGACCAATGAAATACTTTCCTTCTGCCCCTATAACTACTGTCCTCCCCTTTCTCATAAAACGCCTGCCTTCCCTCATATTGGGACATAATTTGGGTTTCTGCATGAATCTATGCCCTACGATTACAATTACTTTTATCGCAAATGAATGCTTGTTGACTGTCACTTTCGTTTTTATTGTTCAGATGAACAGTTGTGATATTGTACAGCTATGACTTTATTTGTAATGATAAATGCTAGAGTGAAGTTTAGTTGAAATAAAATAAAAACAGGAAAAAATCACGTCTCTCTGTCTGACTTTGGAGAAAATCTGAAAATAATGCAACGGGAAAAATCCAAAGATAAGAGAGTCAACTTGTAAAATAGAATAGTTCATGTAGAGTTTTATGCGAGTTATTTCTGCTCTCCTGAAGAAAGCTGCTTCCCCCCATCGTAATCCAACAATCTGATAAGGAGCCTGCTGGGGTCTTGAGGAGAGCGCCTGAGTCATGGAGCAGAGCAGCTCTGGCCCTCCTGCGACACAGCACATGCCCTACAGGCTCTCTGAGGACAGGGCCGCCTTTCCTGTGGGGCTCAGGGGCGATGGCAGAGACAGAGGCTAAAGCACAAGCCGAGCAATGTCGAGGAGCTCTGGCAGCCACCCGAAGCTAAAAAGTGACAAGAAAAAAAGACACCCAGAACCTCCACGGGAGCACAGGCCTGCCAACATCTTATTTTATTTCATTTATTTATTTAGTTAGTTATTATTGATTTCAGAGAGAGGAAAGGAGAGGGAGAGCGAGAAACACCAATGATGAGAGAGTCATTGACCGGCTGCCTCCTGCATGCCCCCTGCTGGGGATCGAGCCCGAAACCCGGGCATGTGCCGTGGCCGGGACTCGAACCGCGATCTCCTGGATCCTAGGCCGATGCTCCACCGCTGAGCCACGCCGGCCAGGCCCTGCCAACATCTTGATCTCAGACTTTAACTGCACAACTGAGAGAGAGTACATTTCCTTTGTCCTAAGTCGCTCGGGCTATGGTGCTTTGTTGCAGCAGCCCCAGGACATAGCACACAGGACAGTCACCAGGCTGAGGGCCTNACATTTCCTTTGTCCTAAGTCGCTCGGGCTATGGTGCTTTGTTGCAGCAGTCCCAGGACATAGCACACAGGACAGTNAGTCGCTCGGGCTATGGTGCTTTGTTGCAGCAGCCCCAGGACATAGCGCACAGGACAGACACCAGGCTGAGGGCCCAAAGCTCAGAATACTTGAAGGTGTAGCTGAGGTTCCGACCCCAGCGTGATAACCTGCATGGGCGCTGAACCGTATCCACAGTGTATCAAAAGGGAACTCATCACTTCTGGGCTGTGATCTGTCCTGAACTGGAACGTTGTCCGAATGCCAGGAGTGCAAGGAGCAAGAAGTGGCCACTCTTTCCGTCACTGCTGGAGATCCACTCGGGGCATTGTGCCTCCGTTTTCTACAATGCTGGTTTCTGTGCATTTGCGGGTTGTGGACCTTGACGGTGGACAGTTACATCTGAGAACATAGGACGAGTACGGATAGATTCCCAGTGCAGCTCCACTGGGTCAGGAGACACCCATCATGAGCAGTGGCCTTCAGGAAACGATCCTGCTCAAGATGAGTTACAGCTGCTCTCACATGCAGATGGGACATTTGGGTAAGGGGCCAGCTACAGCAGCATAGCCCACATCCTGAGAAGGCAATGGGTTTTGAGCGCATGGACATAGGAATTAATTTCTGGGACACCCTCGCAGGTAGAGATCTGGCCTGGGGGGTTACCAAAGGGTAGGGGCATCCAGTGTGGGAGGTGGAAGGAGTGGACCATGAACATCCGACAACTTGAAACCAGCTCGTGCAGCAGAGCCTGCGGTTCCTCCCGTGGATGACATCTTGCAATCCCGCTGCCCTCAGGAAAACTCCTCCCTCAGGATAACTTAGGGCAGAGCAAGCAATGGACTCTAGTGGGTGGAGTGGTGCCCTGCCATGAATTCTTTCGGGACTAATCATGGCTGAAACGTATCATCTGACAGGTCGAAGCTGACACTTTTCCTGGTTTTGCTATTGGATAGGAGATTTCTCATGGTCACCTGTAAAGAGAGTGCTAGGGATTTGGAGTGGGAGAGTGGCAGGCATTTAACCAGAAACAAACACGGTGGTCCAGGCTTAAGTTTTATTTCAGCAGCCAGGACCCATTTGTGCTCCTTTATAGGCTACAGGTGGGAGGTATGAGGCGGGAGGCAGGGAATCAAATGCTGACAGGCCCGAAATACCTTGAATGAAATACTCCAGATTTTCACAAAACTATTATAGAGAGGGAATGTATGGGAGATTTACAATCAGAGCGTGGCATCATCAGAGTGTATATTTTGAATATAACTCTGAGATTTGTGCATAGAAAGAGATACAGAGAGGACAATAATAGACAACATTGAGAATGACAGTGTAGCAAAATTAGGTGATAGACATGTGAACAGAGGCAGGGACCCGCCGGGCTGCAGAAACCAACAGGGCTCTCATGGCTTTGTGCCATGGAGAGGTGCGTGCCGAGCCAGCAGTAGGGGGCGCTGTGGGACTTTACTGTGGTCCCTACACAGACACAGATGCTCATCGAGGACGACACACTCAAAGGAACCTGAGCCTGGAGGCTGGGCGCTGTGCTCCATGATGGAGACTCANGTCTGGGGTGTGAGCTGAGCTGCAGCCCCAGGGCGCAGGGAGGGGCTGGCACTCAGGGGAGGGACTCACATTTGCATGGAAGCCCCTCCTGTGGCAGAGGGTGGGGAAGAAAAGGGGGCCTGGGGAGCCCAGCCCCACTGTGGGCTCAGGGGCTGTGGGCACCATGGCCTGGACTCCTCTCCTCCTCGTGCTCCTCTCCCACTGCACAGGTAGGGACAGGCCTCCAACCAGGCCTCAGTTCCCAAGTTTGTTCCCTTCATGTTCAGTCTTCTGAGACACTTCCCCTGGTCCCTGCCCAGCACTGACAAGTGTCTGTTCCTGCAGGTTCCCTGTCCCAGGCTGTGCTGACTCAGCCGCCCTCCGTCTCTGCATCTCCTGGATCCACAGCCAGACTCACCTGCACCCTCAGCAGTGGCTTCAGTGTTGGCAGCTACTACATATACTGGTACCAGCAGAAGCCAGGGAGCCCTCCCCGGTATCTCCTGTATTACTACTCAGACTCAAGTAAGCACCAGGGCGACGGGGTCCCCAGCCGCTTCTCTGGATCCAAAGACGCCTCGTCCAATGCAGGGCTTCTGCTCATCTCTGGGCTGCAGCCTGAGGACGACGCTGACTATTACTGTGCTATAGCTCATGGCAGTGGGAGCAGCTATAGTTACTCACAGTGACTCAGATGACGAGGAACTGAGACAAAAACCCTGGGCCCAGAGATTCGGGCTCTGAGCCTCGTCTCAGGGAGAAGCTTCTGTGCAGGCATCTGCCAGCTGGACCACTTTGCAGTGAGATGTGTCCTCAAAAGGCGGGGAGAGTCACACACAAGGAGCAACAGCACAGGCGTCCCAGGAACACATGCTGAGGAGCTATATGGGCCACCCGACCACCGCAGTGTCTGCTGTAAATTTTACCGGGAGTGAACATTTCTGAGTCACATCTCAGCTCTTTTCTACCATGGTGTCTTGTTTTGCCCTCACACAGCACTTTCACCTCTGACATTTCTGGGCACTAAATGTGTGGGGGTCTTTCTCCACAACAGCAATTTGCTCGGACACCAGCTGATGTCCTACAACATCACCCAGTTCCAACACTATCTGCCTGGGGACGGTGTCAGGGCCACAGTTAAAGGGCCAGTCCCAGGGGACTGCCCGCCCTTCAGGTGCTGATCATGGGAAGGAGGTCCCAGGTTTCCCACAACTTCTTGGCTGTAAATCGAAGATTCCCATGATCCCTCTCTTTGTTTCAATACATTTGCTAAAGTAATTTGCTAACTCCACCAGATCCCTTCTCCCTCCTCAAGCAAATCAGGGGCAAGTCTGAAAATTCCAAGCTTCTAATCATGCCTCAGTCTTTCCAGTGACCTGTCCTGATCCAGGAGCCCACCCAGACTCACCTCATTAATAGAATAAAAGGCATGCCTGTCACCCAGGAAAATACAAGGGTTTCAGCTCTGTGCCAGGACCTTGGAGCCAAGACCAATATATATTATCCACTATCTCACAATCTGTGTCTGCAGCTACAAATGATGACCAGAACAGTTAAGTTCACCCACAAATTAATGTCATAAGTGTGAAGTTTCTGTTACCAATGACACATCACATGTGATACGTTCATATTCACCCTGGTCATAGACACAATTCTCTCCTTCTCTGAACAAACCTACAAAAAGTGAGTCATAAGTACTACAGACTCTCACCCATGCTGCTGGGAATGCAAAATGCCTGGGCCACTTTGGAGGACACTTTGACAGTTTCTTACAAAGCTAAACACACCCATATGATACGAGACAGAAATCACACCCCAATATGTTTCCTTGCATCGGTCACTGTGCGCAGACAAGCACCTGGACATGAGGCCCCCGGCTTCTCTATTCAGGTTTCTTACAACTCGGGAAGCAACTGCTGTCCTTCAACAGGCGAATTAATAAAGAACCTCGGCCCATTTACAGTGGAATTTGATTATCAATACAAATAAATGGTTTATCAGAGCACAGAAGGACATGAGCAGCCTAATACTCATATTTCTAAGTGAAAGGAGCCAATCTGAAAAGGCTGGAGCTGTGCCGGGTGCAGGAGCCAGCAAGGAGCAGGGCCCAAGCCCTGGGCACCAGCCCTGCTGGGGCGGCCCTGTCCTCAGCGCCCATCAGGGGGCGCAGGTGCTCCTGGTTCCTCTGCGGGGAGCCCTCTCCCCACCTCTGACCTGTTTCCTGTTTCATCTTTGGACTGAAGCCCTCTCACTCCTATAATCTCCTTTTCTCAGCTGCGGCCCTGGCTTAGGCTCAAGGAGGGGCTTGCAGAGCCTCCAGAAGGGGGGATTTGCATAAACTTCCCACCCTCAGGGCCAGGGGGCCATATAAGAAGTTTGAGGCTCAGGCCTGGCTGTGG